ACCTTACAATCGTCCTCGATCGATTCCACTATCGATCTCATTATTGGTCTCACAATCGATCTCAAAATCCATATGACTAATTTTCTAATCATCCACTGATTGGGGTTTTCTCAAATGTAATTGAAGGATTGGGCGAAAGTTTCCCGCCGATTTTGGTCGCACGCTGGGTTCCCGGGTTCCCAACTCCGGATTCCCGGGTTCCCGGTTCCCGGGCCGATTTCTGTGGGCGGCGAGGTTCCCACGTTCCCGGGTTCCTCGTCGATCTGCTTATCGATCGGTCTCAGCATCGATCTCACTTCCCACCTCTCTATCGATCTCACCATCGATATCAAAATAGATCTCACAATCGATCTCGCAAGCGATCTCACTAGAGATCGCACGAGCGATCTCGCGATCGATCTCCCTATCGATCTCATGAAATCGATTTCACTCTCGGTCTCACGATCGACCTTACAATCGTCCTCTATCGATTCCACTATCGATCTCATCATTATCGGTCTCAATCGATCTCAAAATCCATATGACTAATTTTCTAATCATCCACTGATTGGGGTTTTCTCAAATGTAATTGAAGGATTGGGCGAAAGTTTCCCGCCGATTTTGGTCGCACGCTGGGTTCCCGGGTTCCCGGCTCCGGGTTCCCGGGTTCCCGGGTTCCCGGGCCGATTTCGGTGGGCGGCGAGGTTCCCAGGTTCCCGGGTTCCTGGTCGATCTGCTTATCGATCGGTCTCAGCATCGATCTCCCTTCCCACCTCTCTAACGATCTCACCATCGATATCACAATCGATCTCACAATCGATCTCGCAAGCGATCTCACTAGAGATCGCACACGCGATCTCGCGATCGATCTCCCTATCGATCTCATTGAATCGATTTCACTCTCGGTCTCATGATCAACCTTACAATCGTCCTCTATCGATTCCACTATCGATTTCATTATTGATCTCACAATCGATCGCAAGATCCATATGACTAATTTCCAGATTATCCACTGATTGGATTTCTTCAGGTCTAATATATTCCTCTTCATATTTTCGAACAAGAAGCCCGGGCGGGGGGAAAACCCCTCCCCCCCAAAAAAACCGAACTCCTGGGATCTGGGGCTTTGGGACCCTCCGGACGGGCCTCGAAGAGGCCCCCCAGTCCTCGCAGGGCGTTTTGCCAAGCCTTCCCAGCACACCTAGGGCGATCAGGGGGGTCATCGGAGACATCCCAGAGAACCCCAAGACAGCACAAGAGCGCTCCAAGAGTGACCGACGTGACCTCAAGATGGCCCAAGAGGCCTCCAGGACGGCCCCAAAGAGGCCTCCAAGAGCACTCCCAAGCAGGCCCCAAGAGGCAAAAATCATTGATTTTCTGCTGGTTTTTGGTGAAGTTTGGGGTTCTCCTCTTTTCGGCTTCCCGGCGCTCCAAGACGGCGGCCTTCTGGGCGTCCGAAGCCTCCTGGGAGGCTCCAAAATCGCCCCACAACCATCCGAAAGAGCTTCCAAGCAGCCCAAGAGAGCCCCAAAACGGCACAACACGGGTCCAAGATGGCCCTCAGAGAGCCCCATGGCGGCCCAAGATGGCCCCAAGACACCCTCCGAAGCATTCCAAATCGTGACCCGGTCGTTCAGGAAGACCGCGGTTGGAGGCAGGGTGGCCCGAGGAAGCCCCCAGAGGCCCCCAGAATACGCCCAGGGGGCCGCCAAAGGCCTTAAGAGAGTCTGAAACAAGTTTTGTCAGGCCCCCAGAGTCTCTCCAAGGAGGAGCCTCCGCAAAAAAGAGCTGAGGAGGATGGGGAGAATGCGCAGAGTATGGCGAAAATGAAGAAAAAAGAAACATGGAGGAAGGATAACAAATAACATTATTATAGCGGCGATGCCAGAAAAGGCAACAAGGAGTTATCGCTAAATTGTCGGCTTCACCTTCCTGCTATTCCGCCTGCATACCCAACTTCAAGGACCAAGGTGCATGGCGCGAAGCGCCACTGCAGTCTTGTGTGTATATATATATATATACATCCACATATACAGATATAGATTCCTCGTCGTACATTTTTACAAGCCAGGGGGGGAGAAAACTCCATCCCCCCCCAAAAAAGACTGGATTCCCAGCATCGCGGGTTTCTGGGCCCCCCGGACATCCTTGCCAAAGGTCCCCCGGCTCGTCCCGGACCTCCGAGGGCGCTTAGCCGGGTCCTGCCAGCAGGCCCCAAGCGATCAGAGTGGTGATCAGAGCGGTGTCAGCACAAGAGCGCTCCAAGGAGGACCCAAATGGCCCCCAGAGGCCCCCAAGACGGCCCAGGAGGCCCTCAACGGGGCTCCCAGAATGCAAAAATCCGCTCGTTCCCCTTAGGAAACCATGCATTTTCGGTAAATTTGCTGTTCGGGTCTTAGCAGCGTCCAAAACAGCCCAGAAGGCCTCCGGTTTCGCCCCAAGACGGCCCAAGAGACCCCCAAGAGAGCCTATAGACGGCCTGGATGGCTCCAAGACTGCCCAAGGAATCCACAACTGAGCCAAAAAGAGTCCCAACAGGCCCTCACAAGGCCCCGAGGCGATCAGAGCGGTGATCACAGAGGCCGAAGAAAGACCCAAGACAGCACAAGAGCGTTCTAAGTAGGACCCACATGGCCTCCAGAGGCCCCCAAGACGGCCCAGGAGGCCCTCAACAGGGCTCCGAGAACGCAAATATCGCTTCATTCAGTTGGGGAAACGTACCTTTTCAGCACAGTCGCTGTTCGGGTCTTAGCAGCGCCCGAAACAGCCTAAAAAGCTTCCCGTATCGCCCCAAGAAGGCCCAAGAGACAACCAAAAGAGCCTCTAGACGGCCTGGACGGCCCCAAGACTGCCCAAGGAAACCCAAAATGAACCAAAAAGACGCCCAACAGGCCTTCACAAGGCCCCCAAGAGAAGCCCAAGAAGGCCATGGGAGGCCCCCCAAAAGGCCATGGGAGGCCAACAGGAGGGCCTACGCAGCCTCCGCAAGGTCCCTAGAGGGCCCAAGCTCTCCAACACGGCCCAGGATGGCCCCAAGACGGCTCGAGACGGCCCAAAGCCAGCCAGCCCACCAGGGCTCCAACCAGGCCCACACGGCGTTTTCCACCAAACTGGCCCGAATCCCGAGCTCGCAACCACAAATCCCGGAAATCAGTTGCGAACCCAGGATTGGGTGCATTCCCTACGAATTACTTGCGTTTGCGTGCCCCGTTGCGACCCGCTGCAACCCACTGCAACCCGCTGTGCAATATTCTTCGCCGTCCCCCGACGGCGCACTCCTCCTCCTCATTCTGCCGCTCCACCATTCGTCCTCCCCTACATCCGATTCCTTTCCTCACCCTCCGAGACTCTCTCCCTCCTATCCTTCGCCCTCCACCCGGTGCCTTTCGGCAGCCCCCAGAGGCCCGGGAAGTGCCAGGGACCGCCCGAACTTTCGAAGACTTCTGAAAACCACCGCAGGGAAGGGCCCAAATTTCCAAGGCCACTAGGGATGGTGCGAACGACCAACAAATGCAAAGCCTCAAGTACCAAGGTGTATGGCGCGAAGCGCCAATGCAGTCTTGTATCTATATGTGTATATATGTGTATACATATATATATATACATATATGCACATACATAAATATATATATATATATATATATTTATATATATACTCGTCACGCCCTCCTGGCTTGGCCAGGAGGGCGTGTACGCAGCTCCTAGGCCCAGGAGGGGCCCGGCCGGGGGGGCAGAGGCTGTGCGTATAGATTTCGTCGCCCGACACAAGGCACACCAGCCTAAGGCTCGGTGCCCCCACCCTGCCCTGCCTCGCCTGCGACTGTCGTCTGCTCCCCAATTCGACGCGCTGGGCCCAAATTGGACACTCAATTGCCCGGCCGATTGGGGCAAAGAAAAGAGCAGAAGGCAAGCGCCGAACGACCCGTCAACAACAAGCTGAAGAACGAAGCACCTGCAAGATCTGCCACAACGCTTGCAGCAGCTGGTGTGTCTCGGGCCCAAGCCGTTTCGTTTCTCCTGCGTCATGCGAGGCAGTAGTCGGCAAGTACCATAAGGATGCCCTATAAGGATGCAAGGACCTTGGACGCCCGCTTCGAAGATTGATGAGCGCGGCGAGGCGAAGGAAAGTGGCCAAGGATGGACCGAGGAGGCAAGGATGCAAGGGTAGCCTTGGGAATGTTGCCCACCCTCACTGTGCGGGTGGACTGTAATGCAGGCCCCATCCGAGCGTCGACCCCAACATGCCTCCACGTCGGGTGCACAGCCCTTGCGTTTTTGAGCACCCCTGGCAGATGCCCAACATCGGAACATAAATAAAGCGACGGGGGGCGTCGTGACACCCCAGCCCCTCCCGCAGACCTGCAATGGCTCGGACCGCCACGTGAGCCTCCCCAACCTGCCCCACATCACAAGAGAGGGCCCCCCAGACCGTGGCAGAATTTAGGTCGGGCATGTCCACCTACAGGCGGAGTCGGGACGAAAAATCAAAAATACTCCAAAATTGCCCAAAAATGGTCCAGAAATGATCGTAAATACTCCCCAAGCTATTTTTGGACTCAATCTGAATCTTCCTCCTGTAGAGGGACATGCCCGACTTAAGGCAGAGAAGTCACATGTCCCGTCTCCACTGGGAAAGCGGGCTCTTTTACCTACTAAAGGCCTCCGGGCCCCGAAGAGGACAGCTGCCACGTGTTCCGGCAGCCTCGAGCCCGCACAAAGAGCGATCCGCGTGTCACGAGTGTCACGAGCCTCTCGAGCCCAAGAGAGAGAGATCTGTCACACATGACGGCCAGATCGGCGGTTCTCACCAATCCGCACAGAGCGCTGCGCCTGCACAGTGGCGAGACTTGCCGCAGGCACCCGGGCCTTTTCCTGCGCGGAAATCCCAGCACCGGCGGCTGGCGCGAAAACCGTTTCCGTCGGCGGCGAAGCAGAAATGCTGCACCACGGGCTGCACAGGGCTGCCAAGGAGCGAACTGCCCAGCGTGCAGGAGGGGAGACTGAGCTGGCGCGAACACGCATCAAAGCAACGCATCGAGCTCATGATCTTCCTCAGCGCGGTGTGCGCCCACGCCCAGGGTGGCCAACAGCTCGGGCGGCTCCACGTCCAGTTTGGTTGCGGAAGCCGAGTCATCTGTGAACAGCGTTTTGCCGATCGCTTCGCTCTGGCCGTCAGCTTCTTGCACGCCATTGTCGATGATAGTTGGGAGGTCATGGCCCCAGTAACGCGCGATGCAGGGCTCAACGAGGGCCAAAAAGACAAGAAGTGATGTGGTAAAGCACCAAAACGAGCCCCACTCAGCTCCAAGTACCAAGATCAAGAGCTGCGCAACTAAGAAGCTCACTGGCAAGCCAATGGCCGTATCCGCCACCGTGCTTTTGGCACGTTCTGGAGCGCAAAGAAACGTCATTGATGGCATTCGCGTCTAATGTCAAAACATTCGGATGATTCAGAAAGGCCGCGGACACTCCGCTCGCTGGAGGCTCTCGCAGACCGCATGGCTTTTTGTTGACAAGCCAGGCACGGTGGCGGGACAAGCCGAAGGCCACCGAATACGTGACATCACCAACGAAAAGCCCCATACTCAGCACGCCGTATAGAACCAAGTTGATCCCAGATAAAGTGTACCCGATGAGGCGGCCACGGACGCCAGGTAAAAAGACGTACTGGAAATTCGCCAACCCATCGGGGCTGGAGGCGTGCCAAATCTGGCAAGCACGGGGACTGAAGTCGCCTTCGGTTTTGCGCGGTGCAAGATCGTTGGTCGTCTGTGTCTTGACATTGAAACACGCAACGGACAAGCGGACAGCCAAATACCCAACCGACAAACCGACCAGACAACGAACCAACCAGCCAGCCAAAGAGCAGCAGCCAACGAGCCAGCCAGCGAACCAACTAATCAGCGAAACAGCCATCAAACCAACCAACCAACCAACCAACCAGCCAGCCATCCAGCCAGCCAACCAGCCAGCCAGCCAGCCAGTCAACCAGAAAATCATGAATTTCGCCAGCCCAACGGGCCAAGGGCGTGCTAAAATCTCCGGTAACTGGTTAACAAGATTCTAGTTCGCGCGCGCGGGGCCGCCCCTGGGGGTCCCCGGACGAAAAGTACCCCGTGACACCCCTGGGACACCCCCGGGACACCCCCGGGGAAAAAGGTTCAGATCCCAACCGGACGCGTGAGATCCCAACCGGACAGTTCAGATCCCAACCGTCAAGGACACGTGGGACTCGTGAGATCCCAACCACTTTGGAGCCTCTGCAAAGCTCCAAGCCTCTGCAAGGTTCTGAGAGCCACTGCGAGCCTCTGAGAGACTCTGAGAGATTCAAATTCTGAGAGATTTTGAAAGATTCTGAGAGATTCTGCGAGATTCTGATAGATTCTGAAAGATTCTGAAGGATTTTGATAGATTCTGGGAGATTCTGATAGATTCTGAAAGATTCTGGGAGATTCTGCGAAATTCTGAAAGATTCTGCGAGGTTCTGAGAGATTCTGAGAGATTCTGCAAGATTCTGAGCGATTCTGCGATATTCTGAAAGATTCTACAAGATTCTGAAAGATTCTGCGAGATCATGATAGATTCTGAGAGATTCTGCGAGATTCAGCGAGATTCTGAGAGATTCTGAGAGATTAATAGATATTCTGAGAGATTCAGAAAGATTCTGCGAGATTCTGCGAGATTCTGCGAGATTCTGAGAGATTCTGTAAGATTCTGAGAGATGGAGAAATTCTGAAAGATTCTGCGAGGTCCTGAGAAATTCTGAAAAGTTCAGAGAGACTCGGAGAACTTCTGAGAGACTCTGAAAGATTCTGAAAGATTCTGAAAGATTCTGAGAGCTTCTGAGAGCTTCTGAGAGCTTCTGAGAGCTTCTGAGAGATTCTGCAAGATTCTGAGAGATTCTGAGAGATTCTGAAAGGTTCCTGAGAGAGTCTGAGAGATTCTGAAAGATTCCTGAGAGATTCTGGGAGATTGTGCGACATTCTGAGAGATTCTGAAAGATTCTGAGAGATTCTGACAGGTTCTGAAAGAGTCTGACAGGTTCTGAGAGATTCTGAAAGGTTCTGAAAGCTTCTGAGAGGTTCTGAAAGATTCTGAAAGATTCTGAGAGCTTCTGAGAGATTCTGAGAGCTTCTGAGAGATTCTGAAAGCTTCTGAAGACTTCTAAGAGATCCTGGAAGATTCTGAGAGATTCCGAAAGGTTCCTGAGAGAGTCTGAGAGATTGTGAGAGCTTCTGAAAGATTCTGAGAGCTTCTGAGATATTCTGGAATATTCTGAGAGATTCTGAGAGATTCTGAAAGATTCTGAAAGATTCTGAGAGATTCTGGCAGGTTCTGAAGGTGTCTGACAGGTTCTGAGAGATTCTGAAAGGTTCCGAGAGCTTCTGAGAGGTTCTGAGAGATTCTGAAAGATTTTGAGAGATTCTGGAAGATTCTGAGAGCTTCTGAGAGATGCTGAAAGCTTCTGCAAGATTCTGAGAGCTTCTGAGAGATCCTGAGAGCTTCTGACAGCTTCTGAAAGATTCTGAAAGCTTATGAGAGCTTTTGAGAGATTCTGAGAGCTTGTGAGAGATTCTGACAGATTCTGGGAGATTCCTGAGAGATTCTGAGAGATTCCTGAGATAGTCTGAAAGGTTCCTGAGAGGTTCTCAGAGATTCTGAGAGATTCTGAGAGGTTCTGAGAGGAGGAGGAGAAGGAGGGGGAGGAGGAAGAGGAGGAGGAGGAGGATTTTGGCGGACGAGGGGGCGATGGTGATGAAGAAGGTGATGATGACGATGATGGTGGTGGTGACGATGATGATGATGATGATGAATGCGACGATGATGAGGATGAGGATGATGAAGGTGATGATGATGAAGGTGATGATGATGATGATATAGGTGATGATGATGATGATGATGACGACGGCGACGTTGGTAATAGTACTGACGATGATGACGACGATGGTGACAACGAGGACGAGGATGGTGATGCCGAGGATCGCCACAACGTTGGCGAACCTCATCATCATGATCAGGACGTTCGTGATGCCGCTGCTGCTGCTGCTGATCATGATGGCAATGAAGATGATGATGATGATGATGATGAGGATGATGATGATGATGGCGACGACGACGACGACGGCGACGACGGCGACGAGGATGATGATGGCGACGACGGTGATGACGATGATGACGACGGAGGAGGCGGAGGAGGAGGAGGAGGAGCGGGGGAGGGGGAGGACGAGAGCGAGAGGGAAGGTGGAAGAAGGACGGCGTCTTTCGTCGTTGTGAGTCGTCGTCGTTAGTCGTCGCCGTCGTCGTCGTCGTCGTCGCCATTGGTCGTCGTAATTGTCGTCGTGGTCATCGCCATCGTGGTCGTCGCGTCGTCGCCGCCGGTTCGGCGCTGGCGGGGACGCCGCCCGCTCGTCGCGGGGAGCACTGGGAGCCACGGGGGGCTCTCGCCGCCGCCGAAGCCGCCGCCGCCGCCGTCGTCGTCGCCGTCGTCGTCGTCTCTCGGGCACCGCCCCCTGGGAAGACGAGGGGGGGATGAGGAGGAGCAGGACGAGGAGCATGAGCGGAATAAGTGTGAGGATGACGACGCTGCTGACGTTGAGAAGGGTGAGGACAAGGAAGAGGAACAGGGCTTGAGGGCAACAAGGGGGAGGATGCGGAGGAGGAGGAGGAGTAGGGGGAGGATTTTGGCAGACGAGGGGGCGATGGTGATGAGGAAGGTGATGAGGATGATGATGATGATGTTGATGGTGGTGGCAGTGACGATGATGATGATGGCGATGTTGATGATGAATATGATGATAATGGTGATGATGATGAAGGTGACGACGATGATGATGGCGGTGACGTTGGTATTAGTACTGACGTTGATGACGATGATGGTGACGATGACGATGATGATGCTGATGATGATGATGGTGATAACGAAGATTGCCACAACGGCGGCGAGCCTGATCACCATGAGCATGACGTTGGTGATGTCGCTGCTGCTGATGATGATCATTATGACAACGACGATGATGATGATGACGAGGACGAAGATTATAAAGACGATTGCCACAATAAGGCGAATCTGCGAATGACGTTGATGACGCCGCTGCTGCTGATGAGAATGATGACAGTAAAGCCGTTCGGGGCTCCCTTGGGGCCGTCCTCGGCTCCTTTGGGCTCGCCCTACTCCAGGACGAGGAGGAGGAGGAGCGTGGAACGACTGGGATAGTAAGGAGCCTGAGGAGGAGCACCAGGGGGACAGGTGGATGCTTCATGACGACGAGGGCGATGATGATGACGATGAGGGGGAGAAGGAGGAGTAGGAGGAGGAGGAGGAGGAGGAGGAGAGGACGGGGAGGAGGAGCGCAAAGGTATAGCAACGAGACGAGGGCAGGCGGACACGAAAAGAACGAGAAGAGGGCAGGCAATCCATCAGTCTCCCTCTCTGCCCGCGTACTCATCGGCAGCAGCGGTGGGCGGGCCTGCTGGGCCAGCTCGCTGCAGAAGAACACGGATGCCCGCGCGGCGACGGGCGAGCACCCGCGCGCGCGCGCGGAAGAGAGCATGAAGGCACACAGGGCCATATCTGTCCTGTGCACGCAGAGTGTTGTAAGACGCTAGAAAGATATCATGCACGAGGAGAGTCGACATTAAGTTCTGACTGGTCTGGGGGCCTCCAAAAAAAAATGCTCGTGTCGGGCTCGCGCGGCGTAATCAGGAGGCAGATTCGGCAGTACTACAGGCAGGACACTCAGAGCAGCAGGACAATGAAGGTAGTGATCAACAGCATCTCCAAATAAGGCCTTGCACCCAAATCGACATGACTGGGTCCCTTGTCGGAACCGACGCGTAGTTGGCCAGGCATTACAGATAGTTTTGATGTGAGAGACGGCCGCGAAGGGGCCAGCACGCTTGACGGGGAAATGAATGCACCTGAAAGCAGCATCCGAGACCTCCCACGGAGCCTCAGGCCAGAAGTATCGAATCCGAGGCCCAAGAAGGTGAGCAATTGGAGGAACCTCACGCCGAGACCTCAGGAGCCTGAACACTTTCTTCTGAACTTCGTGAACGTCATCCTCAGCAAGGCGAGGGGCAATGGCGACCAGCCTCTTATAGTTCTCAAGCCATGTATGAGCGACAGAATGCTGGAGCCAATTAGGAAGACGAGGAAGCAGCAGAACGTCAGCATCTTAATGTTCAATGTGATGAAACCGTGTGAATGTGTTATCGAAGATCTTGCTTCGGAGGGCAGAACGAAAGAAAGCTGCACGATTCTCACACGGTATATCACGAGGGACCGCATCGAAGCCAAGCTGATCAATATTCTTCAAAGAGAAGATGAAATGGCGTGCCTGGGAGAGGCCGTCAGCCTCTGCGGTGCTGTATGCTCTGTTGATATGACACGCTCGTTGACAATATAGAATTGCCCCACATG